ACAATCAACTTTCAAAAGCTGTATCGACATCATCCACGCAGTCAAGGTTCAAAATTTTATTTGCACGTTCCTCTTCATATCCTTAATCTGTTTTGCCATATCTCTCACGTCTGCTTGTGGACAAGATTAAATTTGCCACAAAATCATGTATTTACTCTCTTTATTGGCAAAGATGATGTATGCTAATTTCAGCTTTATTTTGTATGATTTTGTAAATTTGCATCCACATCTGGATGCATAAGGCTTCTACTAACTCGGACTTGACTTAATTCCTCAACTGTTGCCTATTCACTGGGGTGATCGTTGAATGAAACAGATGAAGATAAATCGTTATTCCACTTTATGTTATTTTGATCCTAGTTAAGTTGGCCAATGCAAATTTAATTCAACGATGGATAATTCACATTTTTCCCCTCAGGTTCAATTCTCAAGAACCATTTGTACCACAAGTCGGTCTACTTTATGTGCGAGGTTGTGAGATCGAGGGACAAGTGGATAAGGAGGGCAAACTCATCCCAGACGAGGAACGACTTGGCTTTCTCCCCGGCAAAGGTAAGTCTTTTCCAAGTCATGCATGATACCATGGCCTGCTGAAAAAGGAATAATTCTTTCGTCCGATAAATCTGCTGTTTTGTGGGGTGGGATGTGTACTGATTATTCTGATATCGAGATTTTTCAGTTCTATAGCTGCAGCTGCTCACATACAATTTGTTTGAATTTTCAAGACAGGAGAATAGCTGAATCTTTGAGAAGCAAACGTATGAATGTGTTTGATTGGATTATATGTGAATTTTATGCCTTTTCTATTACACACTGATGTGTGATGGACAGCAGACGGGGTGGACCCCATAGGCATGAAGGCCTGCTGTTCAGTAATGCAAACCGACAACCTCAGCCCCGGGACTTGAACTGGCGAACCACATTAATCCCCGCTAGGTCAGGCGTGGTATAGGACCGTTCGGCAGCAAAGCTGTTGTCGTAAATATACTTCCTAGATGTATTTATTGCAGATAAAAACTGTTGTAGAGAAAACTTCATTGTGGTGCAAAAGGATGGTCGGAGGGGGATAGCAATGAATTGGAAAGAGAAGAAAATGCCATGGAGCTAATGAGTGAATCAGAGGTTATGATCGGCGTTTATCTCGTCGTGTGTGTATACATTCAGAGTAGCGCTGGAAGGGAGAAACGGTGGCTAGACATCAGCGGACTGACCTCAGTGATAAACAACAAGAGGTTCTAAAGGCAGAACTTCCGATATAACATGGTACCATTCGCACGAGGTTGTTCGGAGTGATCTTTTAGCACTCGTTGGACTGAGGTTCCTGGTAGAGGTTCATGCAGCGATCAGTGTCGGAGTTAACTTTCCGACAGGCAATAATTCGGTAAGCACTATTAAACTTTCTGTTAGTTGGTTAGTTGATTATTTTCACAACTAGCGGCTAATACTGTACTGTATGTTTTCTCATTTTCAACTTTGTTCATTTAAAATATAATCTCCCCACTATTACCCTTGCGGTTCAGAGGAGAAACCAAATATCGTCGAAACATTGCCTACCTGGCGCGTTCGTCTTGACCCAGCACAATATCAGATGGATGCTGACCGACTGAGAGCGGAACAAACCCGCGGTGAGGTGATTCGGGCCAAGGTGACACGTGCGAAACGAGAGGGTCGTTCCAAGGAGGAAATTGCCGTGTTAGAGCAACAAGCGGCAGAAGCCGATCAGGCCAGGCCAGAAGATTTATACGATACGTTTAATGTGTTAATTCGTCGAAAGCCGAAGGAGAACAATTTCAAAGCTGTATTAGAGACAATTAGGTAAGTTGTTCGGTTTTCTTCGATCGTTCCATGTTTTTCATTTTCTACTTAATTCATTTTGACCAGAATGGAACCCTAGTCGCGAAAATGCCTGTTCCCGGTATAGGTTTATCCCTGGTGCGATCAAATTTAGATTAGCTTTAACCCGGACAATTAACTGAGGTATAATTTCCACTCAACCTTTCCTGATAATCACTCCATTACATGTTGGGGTGCTTTGCTAATGATTTAGTACATTATACGGCACTTAAGATTGTTATTGATTTCTATCGCCATTGAAATAAACCTTCGATTGGGGATGATTCCATTTTCGAAGTTACGCTTACATAATCTTTCGTCAGGATAAAAAGACCGATTGAATTGAACAATGCCACGGCGCTGTACCTTAGAATTGAAAGTGTCTATAGAGTGGACTTTCGTGAACTTTCCGTAGACAAGCAATCACCGTACTGACTGATAGCAGTGTAGTACAGCATCGACGGTAACTCTTTTTGTAGCAGTTGCCGAGTATTCGACAGAATACGAATGGTTCTGGCCTCGCTGAGGAATACACATGTTGCAACACACGCTCAGAAGGATTTTTATCGGGATTGTTGCGGGTTTAGCACATTTCAGAGAGAAAGGTCGAAATACGCCATATGGACCCTGGGTTAGTTTTCAGCATTTTCGATGAAGTTTCCTGGAAAAGCATTTACGTAAAGCAAGTAAGATGTAGAAAAAGCAACTGTATATCATGAAAAATTAACGCAAGCAGCCATTCAGTCTTAATGTTTTAGACTAGATAAAAATACTGGGGAACAGTACAATCAATGTGGAACAATGCANACCCCGATCGTGATTTTTATAACATTTCTAAACTAAACGGGAGGTGACAAGGTAACTTCTAGGTATTCTACAGAGTCAACCTTGGAACTGATGTCAATAACAGCACGTTCTGGCTGGTTTCTAAAAGGAATCTGATAGTGGGAGTCTTTTAAGGCCAGAGTGAATAGCCACACAGGTAGTTTTGAAGTGGATGGAAGCTGTCTAGACCAGTGGAAGGACATCCTATTGCCACACCATCAGCGTACTTACATGGGAAGAAGTTGGAAGGGCTGGGAAGATTATTTATGTATAAATGAAGAAACAATCGCACTCCGAAAAACCCCGAAAATAACTTTAATAGACTAGGAAGTTTTACCTTTATTCGTGTAGATCTTCAGCAGTCACGTATACTTCCAAAAGACATACATAACCTAAACACCTCAGTAATAGTTAATGCAAGCTGTTCGGCACACTCTTTTTCTAAGAGAGAAGGGGGTAATCAGAAGCCCGTACGTTGTAAAATTTGAGGTGTTTTGAAACCATTAAAGGCAAAATGGCTCTCTTTCGCAGGTGAAATTGAGAATGATATTGAGTAGTGTTAAGAGGCAAGAGGAGCCAATTGGTGATCTCATCATTCTACACCTGAAAACGAGCTCTTACTTGAGCCATAGAACTCGTTCGATACTGATCACATATCACTGTCAAGCGTGTACTTCCTTGGTCCGAAAGCAACAATCATCTAATCAAAATATGCCTTCCCTCACCCGANCGTTCCGTGGTCCCTGAATGGCTTTTGGATCTACTGATGGGTTATCTGGACCCAGCCGCTGCCCATTATTCACATCGAGAAGATGTGTATGAACAGCGTCAAAATTGGTTCGACACATTCCTGAGTGCAGTTCACTTGCGATCTGCCTTCCCTCAATACAGTATCCAAATCGTAGATAAACGCAAACGTGTCAATCCGAACAACGATGGTAAGCTCCGGAATTCATAGTTTGACTCCAGTTCTTGCTGTTCTATCTGTGAGCGATTTTGTGTAATCCGGGGTGATTCGCCCAGTGTTCAAAATATTGACTGGTATGATCGAACCAGGGTGTCAAAACCGTTTGGTGATACTATTTGTGTAATAAGGTTTTAACGGGAACTCAAACCAGTTCGTGTCAGATTAAGTAATAAGGTAAACACGTCAAAGGGGGTGATAATCCCCTGCTATATAATCGTTCCAACACGAATAAGATAAATAACTGTTTATAGAATTCAATAACAGGTTGAAAGCCACGTATGGTGGTATGTTAATCATTGTATTACAACTGGTTAGTTCATATCCAATCTGTTGAAAGTTGTCCAGGCAAGGCCGTAAGCCTAAGGCCTGCATTTCAGTCACATTGTCCAAATCAGAAGTGATGCCTCGGATGGGAGGGGGGGGGTTAAAGTCGTCGATTCGGGGGAAGATGATTCAGGTCTTCAGTTGGTTTTTCTAGTGTCGGACTGGTGTAACAGTGGTGCACCGACTTTGTCGCAGATCAAAACGCATGGATAGCTGCCAATAATTGTATCCCAAAAGCCGGCTTATCACCATACTGGAGATAGTGGAATAAAAGGTAAAACAGTACCCGCATAAATGACCCTCCGATAATGGGATTCTCTTCGTCTGTTCCATACCGCGGTCAAGTATCCATTTGGGGTAATCCGAACAATTTTTAATTGATGGAAAGGAATGTATTGTCAAACTTTTCGCGTACACTGATTATAGCACCCCGCACTTGTTACGTCAGCATAATTACGGTGGTTTCTTATACGTGGTTATGTTCGTTTTTCCTTTATTCATTCACAGACCCTATGGAAGAACCTGGTCCCCCATATCGTCTAACATTCCCACCTCTGGCCGATGATCCAACTGCCAAAGTCGAAGCAATGGTCCCAGGTGATGTGGGCGTCACTGTATCGGAAGAGATGAACCAGGCTAAAACTGAGCAATACACCGGCATTAAACCGGACGTCGTTGCGGAAGCCTACGAGCCAGCATTGCATCCACCCTGGCACCTTTTAGTTCAGGCCGGTGGTCACCTACCCAGCAATGCGTTCGCCGGAGGATCCAAGCCGGGCAATCGTGTACCATTTACCCCGGCTCAGATTGAAGCAATTCGTTCAGGCATGCAACCGGGACTAACACTTGTGGTAGGCCCACCTGGTACCGGGAAAACTGATGTGGCTGTACAGATTATTCACAATCTCTATCACAACTATCCCAACCAAAGGTATATTAATCACATAACCAGTTAGTTGGTTGCTAGTGTGGCTACCTCGCTTGGTTACTCCCCCTTATAGTTGCTATCTCCTTTGCTCTTTCCTATTTCAGGATCCTCATCGTGACCCATTCCAATCAGGCGCTGAACCAGTTGTTTGAGAAAATCATTGCTTTGGACGTAGACGAGCGTCATTTGCTTCGTCTCGGACATGGTGAAGAGAGTCTAGATACAGAGAAGGATTTCTCCCGTTACGGTCGTGTGGACTACGTCCTAGCCAAACGTATTCAGCTTCTCCAAGAGGTGACCGTTTGTTATCTGTTCTCTGTTTCGGTGGAACGTCTGTCTAACTAACTTGACCACACGGGATATTATCTTTGACATTCACAAAATGCTTTCTTCTAGAAGGATGATAATGACAATGTTAGTCATACGAGTGTTGTATCGTGTGGTCTGCTTAAATACTGGTTGTCTATTCTGCACGACAGAACATTCAGTTTGTCAGTTTGTGCAACCATTAACCATGAACTTCCGTGCGCCGGTTTTGGTTGTTGTCTTTTGGCTGCCTGTTTGGATGAAGCAATAGGAGAGAGACAGGAAAGTAAAAAGTAAAGTTGAAGAGAAAATGGAGAATTTCTGTGGACTATGGTTTCAAAGAAATTGAAAAGATGCGCAAACGCCTCGGTTCACGACACTCAGCCATATCACCTAATGTATTTAACTAGTGATTACAATGATCCCGAGGTCCCCATTTACGCAGCCTAACACGATTTATTTGATCAAGTCTCTTGGTTAGGGTTTTCGTACTCTCGTGCCAGGTCTTATTTTGACCACCCTTGGCGTCCAAAGTAGAGTTCCGACAGAATCTTAAGACACTCAGTGAAACGTTGAAAAGAAATTGTCGGAACACAAATTGTTGGCCTACCAAACTCAGATTTTAAAAGAAAACAGGTTACAGAACATCAATGTTCTTCCACAGTTTGTGTTCTTGGTAAACTGTTTTCCTAAAGTTTCAGTTATAGCTTTTGTTGCTTCTTGTCTCTCAAATTCACTTATAAACAATGATACGAGTGGGGTTTGTTCAACCTGCAACTGCTCCAGCCGTATTTTTCACAAGTTTGACATTCTCATGGAATAAACCTTAGGGAATTTGAATAACTTAAATGCTATGAAACATATCCTCCCATTGTATTTCAGGTCATGCGCCTCGCAAAAAGTTTCAATCGATCAGCCGCAGCAGTTGATCCTGCTCACGAGGCCGCCATTGCTGATGGTGAGATTGAACCGGCCTCGGAGAATCAAGACTCTCTTCACATGCATTCGTGTGAAACTGCGCAGTACTTTTTCGTTCAAGAGGTTCTGTCACGTTGGGAAGACTTTATAAGCAAGATGGCTCAAACCGTTCCATCCGGATGCCCGGCTCCAGATAACACTGTGGCAGATTCAAATCCACTTTATGACCCACAACTGATTCGAACACACTTCCCGTTCATGGAGTTTTTCACGGGACACAAATCTCCCCCCACAGAAATCGTTCAACAGTTGTTTCCGGTGAGTTTGTCGTTCACATTCCATATTATCAGTCTGACAATCTTATCTTACACGCTTAATATGCGTACTGTAAACACGGACCGGTCGCCAGTTCTTCACTCTAATCGTGGTTTATCATATGCTTCATAAAGAAATTTGCTGGCTGACGTTAAGTTGTTAGATATCATCTTCCCGTTTAGTTTCGTTATACTCATTCGTATTATTTTCATAGCCCAATAAATCTAATGCTAAATTCTTTTTTTTTCTCAAACTGATTGTTATAAGATCTATGAAGTAACTGGATTTTTAATACGTTCCATAGTATGAAGCATCAGACACTTTCTTTAGGGACCTAGACTATGATCAAAGGCATCCCGGCACTATCGGTTAAATCAATGCTTCCACTTCGTTCTCTATACTCGCTCAGGGTCATAGTTTAATCGAAGATATGGCCATGGCTCGTGCCTGTTTCCAGCATGTCCATTCATTGTTTGCTCAACTGGATGAGTTTCGTGCGTTCGAACTGATGCGCACAGGTACGGAACGGGCCAACTTCTTGCTTGTGCAAGAAGCAAAAATCATCGCGATGACCTGTACACACGCTGCCCTTCGTCGACGCGATTTAGTGCAGCTAGGTTTCACCTATGACACCATTCTGATGGAAGAGGCGGCTCAGATATTGGAGATTGAGACATTTATCCCGTTGCTCTTACAAAATCCTGATTTGTCTGGACGAAATCGATTGAAGCGTTGGATCATGATCGGTGATCATCATCAGTTACCCCCGGTGGTTAAAAACCAGGTACGTGATTCCTCACTGTTTTTGTCTGTTTTGCATGGATCATTCCAGTCGGTATTGTGCAATTTGCGATTGCGTTACTAATTCTCCTTTTGTGTCCTGATCTCCACCAACATGCACTAGACGACCGACGGAGAATTTGTGGTGTTTTGAATGGAATGTTCCCGTTTTTTTCCAGCAGTCTTCTGCCGATCTGTCTCTTTTGTTGAATTATCTCAACTACATCCCACGGGTACAGTCTCTTGTGATCGGGCCGATTGTGTCGCCTGTTTGCATGAGACGCATAAGTTTCCTATTTCGTGGGCACAACATTACCATGAATATCTCAACCGGTGATAATACGGCACACACTAAAAATAGTGATCACTTTTATCAAAAAAGATGTAGTTCTTCGGAATGACTGATCTGATCTGAAACTTTCCTTTCTCTACACCTTTTGACAATTCTGTATCCAATCGATTTATCCCCCCCCAGGCTTTCAACAACTACTCAAATATGGGTCAGTCTCTGTTCACGCGTTTGGTAAAGCTTGGAGTCCCGACGGTACAGCTGGATGCGCAAGGTCGTGCTCGACCCAGTCTTTCTTCACTGTATAGTTGGCGTTACAAAAACCTGACCGATTTACCGCACACACAGGTTGAGCCTCAATTCCGCTTAGCCAATCCGGGATTCCGTTACGATGTTCAACTAATCAATGTAGATGATTACAAAGGTACGTTTCAATCTCCTCACACACATTGGAACGCTATCTATCCACAGTTTTGAAACTTACGACAAATCAGATACCATCTTTAAGGACCTAGACTATGGATAAAGGCATCCCGTCACTATCCGGTAAATTGGTGATTCCACCTCAGTCTCCGTACCCGCACAGGGTCGCAATTCAACCCAAGATATGGCCGTGGCTCATGCCTGTTTCCGCCACTTGGTGGCAGACAGATTTGCTGTCGTCGTTCAATACCACACCTAACTTCGTGGAGCGTTATGCGATTCGCCACTCCAAGTCCCAGGGCTTAGTTTGAACAGTAGGCCTTTGTGACTATGAGGCCCTCCCCACCTACTGTTCTGTAGACAATGATGTGAAATAAAAAGGCTTCATTTTGAAGGGATAGACAGTAACCTTTGTCATCACCCATGTTCTTCCTTCCTGCAGCCAGTCGTAACGACCGTACACGGGTCCTTGTGTATACAAACGCCAGTGTCATCAACTGTACCTCGGGATGGAGTGGCTGACTCGTTTATGTTGCAAAATTCATCGATTTTGAAACTAAAGGATCACATCGGTGGTCAAAACGGGCTTGGAACATAAACAATATACCGGAAAATGATCAGACATGGTCATTAGTATTTCTCCTGTTGCATCGTAATGTTGTTGAACTCGTAAACTTAAACTCGACTGGGTTAAATCACGTTTCTTCCATCGAAAACCATATGCGTAACACCGTCGCCGGAGAATTCATGAAAAACAAAGAAGTTGAAGGAAAAGTTCGTTCACCTTGAAAATATACATAAATTAATGTAAATTCGAGGTCTTGCTCCTATTATTCCGAGTTTACTTAAACTTTTTGTTGTTGTCAGTTCCTAAATGAACAGCAGTTCACTGTCAAGCGAAACTCTAACAGTACGGCAAATATTTGATTTTCCACCGTGAGGCTAGCTTCTGGATCGCTCCTCTACCCATTTGATTTCTGTGTAAACTTCCTTTCAATACCACATCGGAATCAAATATGGTTTCTAGTTTTTCTCTTACAAACGGATCGTAAATCTGTTGTTATGCTGCCTGCTTCATGTGTTTTCTCCTCAGGTGTTGGAGAGTCCGAACCCAGTCCATACTTTTATCAGAATTTGGCTGAAGCCGAATATGTGGTCGCTGTGTTCATGTACATGCGAATCCTTGGCTACCCGGCAGAACGCATTACCATTCTGACCACATACAATGGTCAGAAACATTTGATCCGAGATGTGGTTGCTGCACGTTGTGCGAAGAATCCACTTTTGGGCACACCGAGTAAAATCACCACTGTCGATCGATTCCAAGTGAGTTTGCTCTCGAAGAACATCTCTTGTTCTGTGTGCTTCGGCTAACTGTAGAAATCTTCGTTTATCTTTATGCATTGCATGCTTTGCATTTTAGGGTCAACAAAACGATTACATCCTCGTCTCTTTGGTACGCACTCGAACTGTGGGTCATTTACGTGATGTGCGTCGTCTAGTTGTCGCCTTATCTCGCGCTCGACTCGGTCTGTATGTATTTGCCCGTATCGATCAGTTCGCCAATTGTCCCGAGTTGAAACCTGCATTTGATCGTTTACTAAATCTACGCGGTCCTGGGGCACCAAAGCCAGTTCAATTACATTTAACCCCTTGGGAACCATGGATCGTAAGTTACTATCAAACTGTTGGTTAATGACAATCTAATTTCTGGTTGCCATCAATGTTTCTATGCTAAATTTATCATTGTTTTCTGCTACTCGAGCTTTGACCCTTTGGAAGCTTTTAGTCAACCGTGTTTTACCATTTCCCTGATCACATTTCGTATATTTATGTCTTATTTCTATGTTCCGTTTCCTCATTATTTGGGAAATTTCGTCATGCAGTCAACGTGCCACTCCACCCCGACTCTTGTTTCAGCCTGTCATGCAAATCTTGGCTAAAGTACAGATCTAACAAA